TTACTTCCTGTTGTAACGTTCACCTGGTTAATTTTACTTCCTGTTTGCGCCTCCTGGATTATTTCTTCAGCCGTAGCAGAGGTGACCAGATTTAAACTAAAGTCGGTTTTAAAGCAGCTGTGGTGTCATTTTGATTTTGTTCTAGAGGAAGTAAAAATAAAATTGGGTTATTCTGACGGATTTATTTTGTTTTAAAATCAGCTGGACTGAAGACGAGCAGAAACTTAATGACTTTAAACACAAAAACCTGCAGGAGATCCACGACAAAACCTGGAAATTATTCTTAGAAGAAAAAAAACAAAGTGTTTGTATAACAACAGTTTATTTGTAAACAAAGCGTTGATCTGACAGGAGGCAGAAAACATTCAATCCTAAACGCAGCGCCACCGTGCTGCCCCAAACTGATGCAATCAAATAAAACCCAAGTCTCGTTTTATCCTAAATGTTTTTCACACGTTCTTAACTGGAGTGCTTCTGTCCCGTCCTGCTCACCTGTCGGATCGTCACGTCAAAGAAACAGAATTTAAAAAAAGTGCCGTTCAAACAGTTTACAGGTGAAAATAAAAACAGCTACGTTTTGTTTCAGAGCTACTGAAAAACATTTAATCTGCAGACGTGTGTGTTAGAAACGTTCCAGAATAATTTCATGGTTAATACAGAAAGGTTCATAATAAGTAATAATATTAATAAGTAATAATATTAATAAGTAATAATAATAATAATATTAATGATATTAATAATAAGTGCAGCTTTCATTAAAGCAGACATTCAGATTTCACTCGTTCCTTGCCGACGTGCCGCAGCTGATCCAAACTTTAAATCTTTAATTCAGCCTGATCAGCGTTTTCCTGCAGACGATCGGAACAGTTGAAGGTTTTTACAACAAACTGGACCCAGAACCAAAGCCCGGGTCAGAATCTTGTTCCAGGTTTTGGCCTCAAACGTAAAAGTTTAAAAAACGCAGTTTGTGATTCTTTCAACATTTATTCCTCTTGAACACGTTTATCAAACAATTCAAACGTATTGATTGGATCATCGTCGCCTGGAGGCTCAAAACATCAAAGAGTTAGAAACTAAACATTTCAAAATAAAAGCTTGTGAGGTTAAAACCTCACAATTTAAATTTATTAAAGCTTTATTTTTATAAATATTTACACTTGTGTCACATTAATTCACATCTGTTTAAAGTTTGTTTATTAATAATTATTGATTATTAATCAGCTCTGATGCCGACAGTTTATCACACGTTGAAGCTGCAGTTTTAAAAACAGTTTCTTATTAAACTTATTAAAACATTATTAAACTTGTTAAACGTAAAAGTTCCCACTTTTCATCTTTGATTATGTAAATGTTAAAAAAGTTTAGTTTAAAAAGTGATTTTTTAGCTTTTAGGCGCCTCGAGCTCAGAAACAGAATAAAACATTTACAAAGTTTCTGCTGATCCCCGTCGGACCTCCGGCACCGCTCACGGTCCGGTTACTCGTTCCTCGACGTGATGTCCTGAAACGGAAGCGGCCCGTTAGTTTTCCTGCAGGGCGAAGACGACGAGCCGGGCTCGGGTTCTGACTCACCTCCGTCTTGGCTCGCCTCCACGCTCCCATCGGGCCGGACTTGGTCAGAACTGAAACAACAGAAACGTTAAAGATCAAAACGTCGCTCGTTTTGGAGCCGAGTGGAAACACTCGTTTAAAAGCGATGATGTAATCGAGCGGCGCGGTGGTTAGGCGGCTCGTGTCGCAGCAGGTTTCAGACTCACTCATGAACGCTGCGGCGGTCAGGAGGGCAGCTGACGTCACGGCGGCGCTCCACCACCAGCTCCTGCAGGACGAAGACAAAAACACAAGACGTTCAGATCTGGAGAGAAATAAAAACACGTCCTTTAAGGAATGCACGTCGCCCGCCAAACCGCCCGCCCACCGTCTTCGCCACGGAACCTTTGAACGAAGATCCAGACAGGAGCTCACCAAAGATCAAGATCTGTGAAACTAACAGGTTCAGCGCTTTTATTTTCACAGATCCACAGATGGATCGTGCAGCTTCTGCAGTGTTGAGGAAGCTGCGCCGGTCCGCTGAGGTGAAAAGGCAGCTGAGCTGCAAGGAGGAGCCAGTTGAGGACCTCCAGGGTCCATCTGATACAGATGGACCCTGGAGGTCCTCAGGGAGAAGAAGACCCAGACCTGCTGAGGGACTGTGGGCCTGCTGGTCTGGAGAGTCCTCCAGTAGGCTGTGGAGAGAGGTCTGGACCTCCTGCTCAAGCTGCTGCCCCGAGACCTGAGTCCAGAACCAGATGATGGACGGATTCAGATATTTCAGTGTTTGTTACTTAGCCGTGGCGGCCATCTTGAATCAGGTTGATCCTAAAAGTGAATCTGATGTAGACCGAAGTTCTACCTGGATTATTGAGCATGCATCAGGATAGACCGAAGTTTGTTCTGAACGTTTCACAACTGATGTGTTGAAAAAGATGCTCCTCAAGTTCCCAAACATCTGTCGTGGCGCCGCCAGATGTTGATTTCCTGACAGTAAAACTAAAAACAGTTTGTAGAAAACCTAAAACTGAATAAAGTCTCACCGTGAGGACAGAGCTGTGAGGACAAAGACGGTGAAGACGAGAAGCAGGAGCGCCGTCATCGTGAATCCTGAAACAAACACAGCAGAACCTTTAGAACCTGTTGGGACATTTCCCATCATGCACTGGGGTTTCCCGGCCGGTGGTTCTGCAGCTCACCTGTCGGTTCAGGTGACGTCTGACAGCAGCTGGTAGAGTAGAAAGGTGAAGGGGGCGGGACTTCAGAGAGCCCGCCCAGCGACTGGAACCGCTCCTTTGATTGGCAGATCTCAGAGCAAATCTCCTCCTGGATGACTGTATTTGGGGGCGGGGCTTCTTTGTCAGGAGGAGGCGGGGCTTCAGTGGGATCTGAAACAGAAAACTAGTCAGACCCGGCGCTCGTGAACCCAGAGAACCTGGTCCTGGTTGGACACCCACCGTAGGTGAAGCTGAGACTGTCGTCCAGCTCCGACCACAAAGACTCGTCCTGCAGAACCGGGCCCTCCTGGCTGCTCTGAGCCCAGTCCAGATCTCGGTCCTGGTTCTGCCTTGTCCCAAACACACCTCTGAAGACGTTCTGGTCCAGCCATGACTGGCAGGTCTCCGTCACGCCGCTCAGCAGGCGGACCAGAGCGCTGCGAGGCCTCCGCCGGCGCCGGAACACTCTGAAAAACAGAACCCGAAAGTTCTGATAAATTCAGGTTCTCAGTCCGGTTTCATTAAACTTTCCTCTAAAACAAACTCCACGCGCTGTGCTCGTCTTTGTTTGGTTGGTCTCATAGTTTGAGATTATTTATTCACTGAAGGTTGGAAATGTTCAGTTACGTAAAACAATAATAATAAATGTAAACACTGTAATAGTATTTAAATTTAAATTTAAATTGTAGAGAAGCGCAGCAGGACGTCAAGGGTCAACTTCACGCAGCTTCATGCAGCACGGAGCAGAAACGAACTTCTTGATCAGTTACACTGAAACAGCTGAACACAGAAGTTCTAACATTAGTAAAAATAACTTTTAAGACTTATATTTAGTGATTATGACGATTTTTACGACGTGACAAACTTTGAATTTTAAGCTGAAGACAAAAGTCGATCGGCGCAGCAGGACATCAAAGGGTTAACCCTTCTGCTGCTGCAGCAGAAATGTGGGCGTGGCCGAGAGCCGCAGGTGGCAAAGGGCGGAGATCATGACAGGCTGCAGGTGGGAGCTTCTCCCTGGACCTAATGAGTTAGCAGCTGGTAAACCATTTTAAATAACTGGTTTTAACTCATCGGTCCACGGACCATCATCAACCAGCAGTCGTGTCTGGTCCGGTCTTACTTTGAAAAACCGTGCACGAGGTCCAAGTGAAAACTGCACGGAGACATTTTAAAATGCGCCTGCTTGGTTCCTGCTGTGGCCTCAGTTTGAGGCGTTTGAAGTGGAGCCAGCATCCCATAATAAAACCGTCTCCTAGCAACCAGGCCGATGACATCACTGCAGGGCCCTGAACGCAGCTGAGCTCACAGCCGAGGAATGTTCAGCTCTGAACCGGCGCCACGCCGCTGAAGCACGCGCTCCGATTGGCTGAGAGGACCGACCCGGTTCTGTGCGGGCCACGACGTGAGGGGAGGTGAAAAGTCTCGTCCCACCTGACCAGGTTCTCCTTGTAGGACACGTTGGACCTGCAGCCCAGCAGGGACACGTTCCCGTCCTGGTCCAGCGAGAAGCTGTCCTCCGTCACGTCGTAGTAGCCGTTGGTGAGGAGGCGGGGCGAGCGGCGGCAGCAGCACGCACCTCCTGCGTCCGCCGAGGAGTAACACACGTACGAGGAGTCGGGGGAGAGGAGGGAGGCGTCCAGGCTGCGGGGAAGAAGGGGCGGAGTTTCATCTCAAACATGGGGGACACGCCAACAACATACATGATGAAAACATTTTGTTGTTTTTACACAGAAATAAACAATTTAGAAAAATATTGAAAAAATAACATTTTTAGTTTTACTTTAATTTCTCTGCAGAAAAAAAACAAACATTTTATCTGTAAAAACAAACAAAAACATTTTATCTGTAAAAA